AATCTTCAATTGCCTCTCAAGTATAATTTTCACATTTAATGTCATCAAATACAGTTTCAATGATCTTTTTTCTTTTTTGGAGTTTCCAGTCCATTTTATCAATACTGGTTCATCACCAAAGCTCTGGTGCACAGCTGTTATCCTGGAATTTCATTCACTGTCTTTCTGGGGATACATCTCTCTTGAATTGGATACCATATTCATGGATCCCATGTTTTCCTTGCCAGTTGTGTTGTGTTATTGTTCTTGGTTTTTTCCTCTCATTTTGGTGGCACAAATCCCTCAGAAGCCTCCTAATAAAAAAAGCGTATGGTAAATAAAATTGCTGAGTCTTTATGTATCTGAAAATGTCACCTGTACACTTGATCATTTCATTAGGTTTAGGTTTAAGATTGGAAATGATTTTTTTCAAATTTATTGCTTCAGTATCTTCTAGTTTCCAGTTTGTTTTTGAGAGTTCCAAAACTATTCAGATTCCTGATATTTTATAAAGGAACTCTTTTAATTTTTCATTTTACTCCTTGGTAGTTTATAGAAGTTTCTCTTTTTCTGTATTTATTTCACAATATTTTGTGGGAGGTAAGTTCTGTTTTCATCTATTATGCTGGGAAAATTGACAGTTCCTTAAGTCTTTTAATTTAGAAGGTTGTATACTTCATTTCTGGAGTCTTCTTTTTTCTTTTAATTATTTAATGAAGAGTTTTTTTCTTTGTATTTTTTGTCTCCTCTTAGGGCTTCTCTTACTGAATTCTTAAATTTCCTGGACTGATCTGCTAGCTTTCTCGTCTATTTTCTGTTTCTTTTCTTTTTTAGTCCATTTTTAAAGGAAATCTTTAACTTCCAAAAACAATCTATTAAGATTTTGCTATCTACAATCATGTTTTTCACTTCAATTAGCTTTGTTTTCCTGAATATTTCTTTGTTATAGCATCCTGTTCTTGTTTCGTGGATGCCATATCATCATGTTGATAGTATATTTAAAATATTTACATTTCCTTGAATAATTTGACTTCCTCTAAATTTCTTTTTTGGGTTGGAGTCTCACTTCGTCGCCCAGACTGGAGTGCAGTGGCCGCTCCCAGCCACCGCAGCCTTGACCTGCTGGGCTCTGGAGATCCTTCTGCCTCAGCCTTTTGAGTAGCGGGAACTACAGGCACGTGCTACCACGCCTGGCTGATTTTTTTATTTATTTTGCAGAGATGAGGTCTCGCCAAGTTGTCCAGGTGGGTCTCGAACCCACCGGCTCAGGCAATCCACTCACCTCAGCCTCCCAAAGCACTGGGATTACAGGCTGAGCCACTGAGCCCGGCTTAAATTTCTTTTAATTTGTTTTTCTGGACATTACATTTTGTGGTAGAGATTTTTCTTAGATGTCTTCTTGGGTTATCTGTTCATATGTAAGAAGAAGCAATTAAGAAGCTCATTGAAAATTCTAAATGTGTGAAGCATGTTCAACTTGAGCTTTTCTCTTGGATGACGTGGCTGCACAATTTGCCAGAGTTTCTAATGTTAAGACTATTAGATCTTTCTTCTTAAGCTGGTCAAATTTTCCACAGAAGATTTTCCCATTCTTTCGTATGGAGAATAAATGTCTGGCTGCTTTCATCCTTCGTGCTGGGTGAAGAAAGTTGTTCAGTACTAGGAGAATGGGATGGAAACAAAGAGTGCAACTTTGTTATATAGTTTTCATCCTAGCCTCTTATTTTTATCATTCTTCTCATTCCCTCATTTTCCTGACTGCATTTGCTGGGATGGAATAGATTATTGGCATTGGTAATAAGCAAATCCCAATTATCTATGACATAACAAAGCTTTGCAGTATGCTGTCCATCAAGGGATGCAAGCTAAAAGAAGTCTCAATCTCTGTGCTTTCATATTCGCCAAGGCAAACAAAAAGGAAACTTAGTACAACATACCTTACCCCTTAAAATACCTACCACAAGTGACACTGAGTACATCTTATTGGCTAAAGTAAGTCACGTGTCTGCTCCTTGCTGCAGAGATGCAATAATAATAATAATAGCAACAGCAACAATAACAATAATAATAATATCTTACAATATACCTGGCAAGAGAATGATACATATTGGACGAATTGTGCTAGTGACTCCTTCTCTTGGTACTGATAGTTCCTGGGTCTTTTCAGCTTTCTGAATTGCAGATTGGTTTGTTCTGCAACTTTCCCTTGCTGGTTTAGGATTTGTCTTTTTAAATCTACTAAACCTGTTACCATTTGTCCATTTTATTGTTGCTGTTGTCTTTTCTCCTGCATAAAGTTATTTGGGATTATATATTAAGCAATTATTTTAGTAGAGATCCAGAAAGGAGTGAGATTGGATGCACATTAAATCTGTTATGTTTATCTGAAAAACTTTGGTGCGATTTTTTGTAAACTGAATGAACTAACTCTGCAACTTTACTTTGCTAATACAAATATAGTTAAATAATGTGATACTTTATTAAAATATTGTATTTCAAATGTGTATTGTTGTGAATAACATTATGAACTTTCCAATTCTTTCTCTGCATGTTGGATTTTAAAAGGTGCTTCTAAATGAAAGCATAGCAACAAATAGTTATTTGTCAAGTCTTGAAAATATTGGTTGGCTAAATTTCTCAGAGATTTATTACTTAGATGACAAATCTTTGTGCAAGTGGGAAAGCTTTGAATTCCTTGCTTTTATCAAAATTGAAATAATTGCTATTTTAGTTATTCCATCAGTTATCTGCTGCCTCAAAGATATTGCTTTACAAACAAGCACAAACTTCAGTAAAAAACTTTATTATTTCACATGTAATTTTGCTTGAATCTTAGTTGCTTGGCTCTGTTGATTTATGCTGGGCTTGCTTTTGCATCTTTGGTCAGTTATGGAAAGGCCAGTCACTCTGCTTCTGGAAGGGGGCCAGCTGCCGGTTAGGTTACCTCAGCTGTACTCCTTGTGGTCTCTTATTTACTCACAGGATTTCCTGGGCTTGTTCTCATAGTGGAACAGGGTTCCAAGAAGAAAAGCAAGAAGTTCGAAGTCTTAGGCTTAGATTGCCTCACAATCACTTTTGCTGCATTTTGTTGCCCAGTGTACCTGACAAGGGCTGCTCAGAATTAAGGGGTGGGAAAGCAGATTCTCCTTCATGACTGGAAGACTCACAGTTTCAAACTGCAGAGGGTGTGAATAGAGGAACTATTAAAAATAGGACTGTTTTTGCAGACTCTGACTTCAAGAGTTGTCAAATAATTATTTAAAAATAATGTTTAATGATAAAAATATAAAATGAGTATATAGCTCAGGAGGAGTTTAAAGAATTGAATGACTTTGCTAGAACTAAATTCCTTTTGTTCTGGCTATAAAGAAGTGTTCTTGGTGCTTACACATAAACAATTTTCAACTAATGCCTAACATCTTCCATTCAAATATAACCCATACATTATTAAGACTTGAATGCCAAGATTTTTATATTTTGTATTTAATAATTACATAAAAATTAAAAGTATATGTACTTTTAAATTTGTAAAACTCATTTCAGAAAAAAAACCTTTAACTCAGCACTTCATATATTGCACAGAAGAATAAAATGATAAAAAAATTTTTAAAACTATCAAACCTAAGGATATATTTTATTAAAGTAAAATTATGTGTGAAGATAGTGGAATTAATGCAAATTCAAGAAGTAAAAGAAACAGTACAGAATTTATAAAGTTGAAAGAAAGCCTGTTTATATATTTTTAGGTTGGATATTGGTATATGTCAAATCACTATTCCAATGGATATAATTAAAAGATTATGTAACCATTGTATTTTAAAATGTTATTACTTATGATATGACATGAAGTATATCTTTTCCAATCTTTATATTCAGCATGAAAAGTTTTAGATGTAAGTGGAAATATACAAAAGTTTAGTTAAAAATTGTAGGACAACCCCCTCGGGTCCTCTCCCATTCTGGGAGCTTCCTGTCCTCTCAATAAATCCTGCTTTCTAAAAAAAAATTGTATGAACATGCATGTATATATGTTTGTTAGGGATACAGAAAAAATAAAACTGTTGTGAAGTGATTGGTTTGGGACTCACAGGAGTCTGACCCCTTGACTTCTGTTTGACCTTCATCTGATAACTTCTAGAGTCCTCTATTCAGATAATACTCTTAACATAAGAGTAATTATCCTTTTTTCTGAATACGTGAGTAATTACTTTTCATTATAAAAGATAAATTATAAAAAACATTGCAAGTTTTATTTGACTCTCAGTCATCTGGAAGCTTCGCTCTCCAAAGAGTAATCCCTAATGACTATTACTGAGATTTCTTGACTTGAGATGTGTCATGCTGCTGTCCAATAAGGTAGCTAGTCAACTTTTGAGTAAATTATTGAGAATAATTGCAAGTATAAAATGCATTGAATTTTGAAGATTTACCACAAAAAGAGAATGTAAATATATAGTAGCTCATTCATATTTTTAAAAATGTTTTGGGTATATTGGGCTTAACAAAATATTTTATTAAAAATAATTTCACCTGCTTATTTTTACTTTTTTAGTGTGGCTACTTACTGGGATGTCTAAAATTACATGTATTGGACACTAGCCCCCAAATCAGGAGACCTAAGAAGAACTAGGAGTTCTGTCTCTCATTTACCTGAACGTTGTCTTTTCAGTTACAATTTTCTCCTTAGATCCCTCTTTGTCCCCCAAAGAAGTGAAAAGCATATGATATCTTTTTTAGATGATACCTTCTCCCATACTTTGTAGGTTTTAACAGAGTCAAGCAATCAGATCTAATCATTATTCAAGAGATACTCAAAAGATAATTGAAAAATGGGGAAAATTAATTTCTTCACACCACAATTGCCTATATACGCCACTTATTAAAGGGAGATAATTGAAGATGACCAGAGAAGTAGTTTCCTGAGAAGATTGGGTATCTTGAGGAGGTAAGTTCTTTGGAGGCCTTTATTGTGAAGTGACTCATCTGCCTTTTTTTTTTTTTTTTCTTTTTGATTATTCCAGAACGCTGCGATGACTGGGGACTAGATACCATGAGACAAATCCAAGTGTTTGAAGATGAGCCAGCTCGCATCAAGTGCCCACTCTTTGAACACTTCTTGAAATATAACTACAGCACAGCCCATTCAGCTGGACTTACTCTGATCTGGTATTGGACTAGGCAGGACCGAGATCTAGAGGAGCCAATTAACTTCCGCCTCCCTGAGAACCGCATTAGTAAGGAGAAAGATGTACTCTGGTTCCGGCCCACCCTCCTCAATGACACAGGCAACTATACCTGCATGCTAAGGTAGCCTGATTCTTGGTGGTGACTTCTCTTTTCCCTTTAACTGCTGGACTTGTATCTAGATGATGCATGTGCTAGGCAGTTGGAGAAGAACACATTTAGTGAGTTCATTCTCAGTGGCTTAGCTGAAGTGGTCTGAAGGAGGTATACAGAAGAAATGTTTGTGTTGCTGAGAACAATTCTCCAGAGATGGTTCATTTTCACACCCTGAGTCATGCATGTCAAACACGTCTAAAGGTGAAGTCTTCTTTATTTACTCTCTTTCCATGCCATTGGAATCTGATACATTTATGCCTCACCTGGAGGTATCCATTTCCCTAAACAAGGAGCAGGGCAGGGAGTAGAGACCATTCATATATTATTTTGGGCATGTTTCACAGTGTCTGGCACAGAATAGAGACTCAGGGTTCCTGTATAGAAGAAATAATATTTGGGAGGCATTACATTTATTTAAGGCAATGCTTTTTAAACTTTTTTACCAAAATTCCTCTCAGAAGCAAGAGAACATGCTATCTCTGGGAATCTAAGAATATAATCCAAAGAGATTTATCATTACTGCAAAATTTATTTCAAATCTAAATTTTTTTGTTCTTATAGTTTCTTGTAGATATATTTCATTCTACATTATGCCTCTTTTTGTGTTACTAAAGATTAATATTGTTTTTGCTTAAAAAAATCTTCAAAAACTGTGGCCCCTCCCAAAAATAACTATTTTAAGGATTTGTTCTTTGGTTTACTTTTTACCATTATCTCTTGTTAGCTTTCAGGTTTCACTTTGTTTTCTAAACTCCCATTTGGGTTATTATTTTTTTTTCTTTTAACAATTTTGTACTATTTAATATGCATGTCGGCTTGCTAGGGCTATAGTTACAAAATACCACAGACTGGGTGATCTAAACAAAAGATATTTATTTTCTCACAGCTCTGGAGGCCTAAAGTTTAAGATCAAAGTGTTGATAGGGTTGGCTTTGTTTCCAGTGTCTCCCTTCTTGGCTTGCATTTGGCCATCTTCTCTCCATGTCTTCCCATGGTTTTCCCTTTGTGAGTGTTTGTGTCATATAATCTCTTCTTCTAAGTACACTGATCATATTAGATTAGGGACCACCCTTATGACCACATTTTAAGTTCAATTATGTCTTTAAATGCCCTATTTTCAATTACACTCACATTGTAAGATACTGTGCATTAGGACTTTAACATGCGAATTGATAAGGGGGACATAATTCAGCCCATAAAAATAAGTAATCCGCATCTTTTTTCTCTCATGGATAGTAACTACTCTCTGATGGAAAATTGTTAACAATGTTTTCACAAATGTAAGCTATGTTATGATTATGTGGAAAAAGGACCTTGTTTCTATCAAAGAAAAGCCTTTGGATTACTCTCTTTTTGGTGGGGAGATGGTGCTCCGGTAGCCTCTGAAAGCCTTTCTGAAGAGTTCACCTGATACTTGTCATTGGAGTGGTTTCTAGACTGGCATAAGGGTTTTCAAGGAACCTAAAATACTCATGTGCTCATTATTTATGTTCTAATACAACTTGCTAGAGTTAAAACAGGTTATCATGGGAAAATAACTATAAGGAGACAGAGAAATTAGGCCATTATTTCTGCTCTGCCACTACCTAGCTGGTGACTTTAGGCAAGTCATATCCTTATCTGAGAGCTTTGGCATCTGTGTCCACACAACATGAAAGTTGGTCTACATGCTCTTTGAGTTCCTTTTCATCTTTGATAATTGTTCGTCTGTTGACATTTCCCAAGTGAACATCAGCAAATACTTGGGAAGAAGTAATCAGTGACTTTCTGTTTAACTTTGGTCTCTACTGTTCATTTCTGTACTTCAATGTCTATATTGTTTTTTTCCTAAGCTACTCACTACTTGCCTAGAGATCTTCCCTAAACTTTTCTAACCTTCTTTTATATTACAGTGGTAGGACTGCATGGCTGTTAAGACCTGTACATACTTTGAATGTTACTTGTTAACTTCCAGATTGTCACCTCTTCAGTTTACCTGTCTATTCTTCCATGTCCCTATGTAAACCTAGGACTGAAATTGCACTACAAAATTTCCCATTGTCCTGTGGTGATTCCTAAACTGAGAATGGCCTTAAACCTAACCATGTGGAATTATGAACCTGAATGTCTTTATGGTCTTAAAGTTAGATCCAACTCTCAATATTTTGCTGCTTATATTCTCACCCCAATGCTATTCAGGATGAGAGCTGGGAAAGTCAGTCCAATCACTGTTCCTCATTTCTTCAATCAGAAAATGTATCTTTATATTAAACTAAAATTTACCTTCTGGAGCTTTTACCCATAGAATCCTTCTTTCACACGGTAGATCTTTCATTATTTGTGGCCAGAGATCATGGCTGCAATTCCCCCTTGCCATCTTCCTAGCGTTGCCACAGGTCATCTTTTGACACCCCTCTTTCAATTCTAGGGAAGCATATCCCACCCTTTCATTGTATTTACTCTTAATTTATAAGTCATTGAGTGTCAACTATATGTTTGGTACTATACACAGAAGTCACAAAACTGGGTGGACATTGAAAAACTTGCTATCACATCATTCTAAAAAATCTGTTGTTTTTATTAGTCTATGTTCCTTTTCTTCTTTTGCTAAACATAGACATGAGTGTTACATTCATTTAGTTCATTTAATAAATATTTGTTTAGCAGTTTCTGAGAGCTTAGATACTGTACTAGATGCAATGAATATAATAATACAAATTGTCATGTGTAACATGCATTTTATAGAAGATATGGATATTTATAATGTAACCATATAATTTTGAACTATGATAAATTTAAACAAGGAAATGTTCAAGGTGCTCGATAAATGAAAGACCTAATTTAGATATGGGATGGATAGAGCATAACAGAAAGACTCTATGAGAAGGAGAGGAAGAGCCCGCTAGGTAGACAGAACAACCTGTGTAAACATTATTCTAAGAGATTTTATATGTTTATTTATATTTTCCCTTCTCTTCTGATTGTTCTTATCAATTCTCACAACAATTTTGAATGGTTACGCTGAAGTTTTCATTATAATCTTCCCTTTGTTTGATTTTTGTATTGATTTTTATGTCTATTGTGTTGTTTTAAAATTTTTCCTGAAATGGCACAGGATGAACATTTTTTATTATGTCTGTCTCTATTCCTCCTTTTCTATATGTCTATCATGTAAAAAAACTCCAGACATAGGATTACTAGGGGAAAAACTGAGACTTTTTTATGATTCTGAAAAAATATATATGTATTTTTTCCCAAAAGTTGTTTATTCTGTTATTGACTCTGTGTAAGTATGCCTTTGCATTACTAGCCCTGTTATTGACAGTGTTTCAAGTATAATATGTAAATACACATGCACACACACACACACACACACACACACACACACACACACACACACACATAGTCCTGTGTTGCTTAACAAAGAGATACATTTTGAGAAATGCATTTTGGGGCGATTTTGTCATTGTGTGAGCATCATAGGGTGTACTTACACAGACCTCGATGGTATAGCCTACTACACACCTAGGCTATGTGGTATAACCTATTGCTCTTAGGCCACAGACCTGTACAGCATATTACTGTGCCACATTCTATAGGCAGTTGCAACACATTGGTAAGTATTGGTGTATCTAAATCTATCCAAACAAAGAAAAGGTACAGTAAAAATTCAGTAAGAAAGAGAAATGATACACCTGCATTGGACACTTACCATGAATGGAACTTACAGGATTGGAAGTTGCTCTGGGTGAGTCAGTAAGTGATTGATGAATGACTATGATGACCTAGAATGTTACTGTACAGTGTTACTGTACCATGTTACTGTACAATGTTACTGTACATTTTTATTCAACTTGCAGTACAATAGGCTTGTTTATATCAGCATCATCACAAACACAGGAGTAATATGTTGAACTATGATGTTAAGATGGTTGCAATATCGCTAGACAGCAGAATTTTTTAGTTCCATTAGCATCATTATGAAATCACCATTTATATATACTCTCCACTTTTTTTGTTTTGTTTTGTTTTGTTTTTGAGTTGGAGTCTCACTCTGTCTCCCAGGCTAGAGTGTAGTATCACTCTTACAGCCACCACAGTCTTGACATGCTGGGCTCAGGCAATCCTTCCATCTCAATTTTACAAGTAGCTGAAACTCCAGATGCGTGCCACCACACCTGGATAATTTTTTGGGGATTTATTGTAGAGATGAGGTCTCACCACGTTGCCCAGGTTGGTCTCGAACCCACAGGCTCAGGCAGTCCTCTCGCCTTGGCCTCCCAAAGTGCTGGAATTACAGGCTGAGCCACCCTGCTAGGCCTACTCTCCATTGTTAACTGAAACATTGCTCTGTGGCACATGACTGGTCACATACATGCTCACACACATTTAGGTTCACCTCTAAAAGTATAAATATTTCAGTACATTAATAGTAGTCAGTTAATTGTGCCTGTTTTTAATTCTGTGATATCAACTGGTATAGGAAATACCCCATTATCCCTTACATGAACTTACACATATAATGATGTTTCCATATGGAGCATGGCTTCACGTCATTTTAATGTGGTTGCTGTATTAAATCAAATGCAAAGGAGACTACTCATTCAGTGCTTATTTCTCTTTTCAGGAACACTACATATTGCAGCAAAGTTGCATTTCCCCTGGAAGTTGTTCAAAAAGACAGCTGTTTCAATTCTCCCATGAAACTCCCAGTGCATAGGTTATATATAGAATACGGTATTCAGAGGATTACTTGTCCAAATATAGATGGATATTTTCCTCCCAAGGTCAAACCGACCGTCACTTGGTATATGGTAAGCAAAATAGAGGATGTTTTATTCTCTCTCATGGCATATTATATATGTATTTGCTGAGTTATATTTATAAACTAAAATATTTCTCATCCTATTATCTGATTTCTTCTTTAATAACTTTGTGTAAATCTTTTACCACATCCTTAATTTGGGCATTTTAAAGGAAATGGTGCAGGGTGCTTCCCTTCAGCTCAAACTTTTCTGAAATGACACAAACTAAAATACCAGAACTACCTGAATTCTGTCAACTTCCTGTGAAACACGTTTTGAGAAATGTAGCCCACATCTATTCACTGCTTAGTGAAGTTAGAAGGTGCTCGTTCATCTGGTGAATTTCATCTCCTTGATTAGTCAGTACTGTGCTTTATTATTTACGTGTGTTTTGTTATTTGCCTTCATTTGTGGGCACTGTGCATCTGTGGTTTTTTCCCACATCTGAAGGTTTTGGAAAGTGTTTAATCAAAAATAAAAAGTGTTAGAAGGTTCCACTTGTGGCAGCTGCATAGGTTTCGAATTGCTTCAAGTCTTCACATACACAAAAGCCAAAATCCCATGGGTAGAATTTACAGCAAAACTCAAAGTCAAGTCATCCATAAGCACCAATTTTTATAAAGTGAGACAAACCACCAATAACCTTAAGAACCATGTGGATTCAGTGTTTGTAAGGAAGGAAGCAGATGGAAGTAATGGGTGTCTAGCAGACTTGAGAATAGGAAAACCCTGAAAGAGCCAAGAGGTAGTCAATGGTAAGTATGATAGGTCGGTCTGAGTACAGTAGCTGAAATTTGGAGGGGTTTTGTTCTTTTTTTGAAGGTGAGTGCAAGGGACCAGAAGTTCTAAAGGGGCTGGAGAAGTTCTCATGCTTCACAACTCTGAAAAATAATCAGCCCCATTGAAGAGAAGCTGGTGGGAGTAGAATCAAAAGTAAATTGGATCAATATACCAGAAGGAAAGAGGACTGATTAGAAATGGAGCAGGTGAACAGTCAGGTCATCTCAACACCAAGCCATGATAAAAATTTAAGAGGGAAGTTTATGTGATGTTTTTTGTGAAGTTAGAATATCCTGCAACATTCTAAAGTTCAGAGAAATCTGTTTCAAAAGTGAGCTAAAAGACATTCAAAATGATGAAAGATATAAAAGAATGATAAAAATAAATAAGAATTGGAAAAGTCCGTAAATTATATACATTGTATAACTCAAAAATATAAGAAAATATACTTTTTTTTTCAAAAATGAAGCTAAAATAAGAGGAATATAACAGGGAAAAAAAAGCCACATTGATGGTAGCTGAAGATTAATAGAAGGTGAAAGGGAGACAATTTTTAAAATAAAAAGTAAATGATGAATAAAAAGAAAGAGTGGTTATATGAATATAAAATAAAGTAGACTTTAAGTCAATGAGGATTACCAGAGATAAATAGGAAATTTCATAATAATAAGAGTATCACTTTATCAGGCAGACGTAAGTATAACAAAAGTTTATGTGCCTAATGACAACAGTGCTTTAAAATACATGAAGCAAAAGTTGGCATAATCCAAAGGAGAAAGAGGCAATTCCACAATCATACCTGAAAATTTTTTATTTTGTCTCTGTTTAAGTTAATAATGAAACAACTTAGGAGTCAACTGCAGGAGTCTTTTATTAGCCAAAAATGAACAATTTGAGCCTAAATAAAGACAATCATTCATACTATCATATGAATTATCTATGATAGTAATTCATAAATTAATAATATTTTAAAAACTGTAATTAATTATGTTTAGATTATAGGAAATCAGATCATTACCTTAAAAACTGAAAAAGGGAAGTAAGTATTTATTCTGGTTTTCCTAGAAGAAATATACTATTGGGTAATGAATTGGTGCCAAGAAGTGTGTTTTTAATCAAAGTATTCCTAATAAGAAATGAAAGAGAAATTATACAATTAAAATATCATCACTTTGCAACTCCCAATGAATTAGCACATCTAAAATTTCAGCATGAATGGTGCTAACATCACAAGATGAGAAATTACCAGACGTTTCTTCTGATGAAAGAATACAGTTACCTGAGTCTTGCCTGAATCTAATTAAGCCTTTGGCTCCTACTGCCATTTTGCAGGACACATGGAAAACAGGAATATATTTAACTGCAGCATAAATTTTAGTCAACAAAATCCAGACTGCGGAATTCTGTAGGCCAAATGTTCTGGTTTCTTCAGTAGATAAATTTTAAGAAAAGGAGAGGCATGGAGTGGAAATGTATAAGTTAAAAAAAAACATATAAGACATTTTAAAAGTGGATGAGATTATAGAATCTAAGTCTGCACATATAGGTAATGAAATTATAAATAAAAAATGATCTTACTATAAAAATATAGATATACTACTATTTCAAGGGGTAGTAAAGATGTGATTGACATGGCTATGAGCAAAGCCTTCAAGGGTGGCTGGCAGATTTCCTGGATCTGAGTGGTGGTTACAAAGGTGTTTGCTTTCTAATAACTTACTAACTCATACATATGTCCTGAGTGTTTTTTGTATGTCTTTTATTTTTACAATAAAATGACTATGAGGACGGGAGAGAAGGAGGAAGGGAGAGAAGGGGGAAGGGAAGGTGGAGGTAGGAAGGCAGGGAGACAGAGAACAAAGGGCAGAAGGTATAAAAGGAGGGAGGGAGAGAGGAAGGGAGGGAGAGACTGATTTAAGAGATTTAAGAACTAATTGCTATGAATGGGCTTTAGTTGGATCCTGATTCATTCAAATAAACTACAAAACAAATTATGAAAAGATCAAGGAATTCTGAACATAGGATACTGATGGCATCATTTAATTATTACTTTTTAAAATTGATAATGGCACTGTAGTTATACCTACAGAGGAAGTCTCATTTTTGAGTGATATATAATTATTTGCAAATAAAATTATATGATGTTTGTGATGTGAATCAAAATAATCTTAAAGTGCAGTGACTGGGCCTAGATTAAATAAAACGTAGTCTGAATGGATATTTGTTGAGGCTCATATAGTTGTTAGAGGAGTTCATTGTTCTATGATCAGAATTTTTCATAGTAAAAAGCATAAAAGGTGTTTAAAAGAATGATATTTACAGTTTTACATTAGTAAAGGGAATATATTTTGCAGTTAAACATTGTGTGTTTTTTTACCCTGTAATCAAAGTCTCTAACCTCTCACCTTATTTACTTTTTTAAACATTCTTTTTCCCCCATGCATTCCCTATGCCTAAAATGATCTTCTTGTTTAGGAGAGATCAAATTCTACCATACTTATTGATTGTTCCTTGTTCCTTCCAGCTCATATACTCCAATTTATTCACACCTGTTTCAATATTACTTTTAACTGCCTTTAAATTTTTTAGTCATTCACTCATGTATACATCCAACATACAGACAGTTCCCCAAATGACAGTGGTCTGACTTACAATTTTTCAACTTTACGACAGATTTATTGGGATGTAACACCACTGTAAATTGAGTAACTCCTTATGACTTATGACAGGGTTATGGTTTCTACTGAATGTGTAACACTTTTGCACCATTATAAAGTCAAAAAATTGTTTTGGGAATTGTCTGCTGTGTTGGAAACATTAAACCCATTTTCAACTTATAGTATTTTTTATTTGTGATGGATTTATCTATATACATAGACCAATAGTAAGTTGAGGAACATCTGTATGCTAATTGGAAATGAAGTGTGCTCAGTGCAATATGCCAAGGATTTGGGGGAACATTGTAACAAAAGAAATATATGTCCAGCTCTGTGTAGTCCCCAAAAACTCACAATTTAATGCAGGTAAGTTTATAAATAAAAATAATTTAAACTTTTATTAAAATGTTGAATTCTAAGTTCCACAAGAGTGACAAAGAGAAATTACTTTTGGTTTTAAGAAAAGAAAGAGATGTATATGTAGGTGACTTACAAGATTGCTTGTTTATGAAAGCAGAGTTGTACCCGTATCTATCTCTGTATTTCCAATGATGTCCAGATTTCTGGTTTTCTTAACAGGAAAAATTCATGCAATTAACCAAGGTATGAAGTAGCAGAGAAGAAACAGGTATGGGAAATAAGTGATAGATTTAGATAATGTCATATTAAGTTAGAGGTGCCTGTGAGACAGCTAGGTGGCAGGTGGCAATGACTAATAAGTAGTAGTTTCATGTATGAGGGGAGTTCCCAAAATAACCAGAATTTAGTTATAATTTATGTATCTTTTTTTCTTACGTGTTTAACCTTCAGTCACCTTCAAAATAATCTCTGATGGAGTACATCTATTGAGATGCTTTTTCCACTGCTCAGAACCACTTTGAACTTGTCAAGTTTGATGCCTGTTGGTGCTTCTGCTGTATTTTGTTTCACTTCTTCCATACCAGCAAAACATTTCCCTTTCGGGACTTTTTCATCAGGGAAACAAACCAAAAACAAGTCACTTGTGGAGAGATTGGGTGAATGGGGAGGGTGGAGTATGGGGGTCATGCTGTTTTGAGTCAAAAACTACTGAATCTCAGAGTGGTGTGAGCAGGTGCACCTGTAAATCACTCATCATGAAATGGGAAAACATGTTGAAAGAATCTCTTGTAAAAAAAGAAAGCACTGAAGCCAAACACAGCCTCTCACAACAACACTAAATGGTACACTGATGCTGATGGATTACTAAAACACCTACATAGCGGGGAACACAAGTACACAAGGGTCCCACCCTCCCAAAATAGTTACAGTTTTTTGGGGGGAGTCCTCCGTATATGGGTCTGGATCTTAGGAGAAAAATCAAAGCTAGAGACAGAAAATCGGATATATCTATGTGATGGTTGAAGCCCTTAAGAAGACTAAATCAGCCAGGCACGGTGGCTCAGCCTGTAATCCCGCGCTTTGGGAGGCTGAGGTGAGTGGATTGCCTGAGCCCGTGGGTTCAAGACCCGCCTGGGCAACTTGGCGAGGCATCATCTGTACGATAAATCAAAAATTAGCCGTGTGTGGTAGCGCACATCTGTAGTTCCAGCG